GTCTTTTTTCCTCACTTTTCAAATTATGTTTTGTTAAACCAGATTAAGTGAAATTGTAATTTTTCTATTAAAAACTCAGACCAATAAGGAACATTAGTTTTACTTGGTCCTTTGACATAAACTAGCACAAATTTGCACATTAAATAGTCTTAATACCAAGTCTGTCTCTATTCACTTGTTTTAAGTTTCTTTTAGATTAAATCCAGCACAAGACCAACTCCATTCAGTTGGGATGTACAAAGGTAGAATCAAAACTGATTTGGTCACTTCAACTCAATTTTGTGCATAGACAAAGCTTTTTGTAACTTGATAATAAACCAAACATTATTTTCAACCACAAATATTATTTTGGAAGCACAGACTAATGGTTGAAGCATGAGACAGCAAATCCATTTTTAAATAGGAACCAATTTTCATCACAGACCACTGAGTGACTCTGGGCAAGTTAATTAACCTCCCTGCAATCTGTGAAATTGGGATAATACCTGCCTTGCAGTGAGGCTTATTTCATTAATGCTTATGAAATGCTGAGAGATCCTCAAATGGATATACTCTAGAAATAGAAACAAGCTCAGTATTTCAAACAATACTTTGAAACATAATTCCTATTTGAAAACACACCTCACTGTTAAGTAAAATGTGAGTTCATAAGTAGTACTCCAGTGACTTTGGGTGCACTGAAAATACATTCCACACCAGATCAAAAATCCCAACAAAAATAAAAAAGGACACATATTATGTCTTTTCTTTCAGCTACATACAGAATTATCACTATGCATTTTTAGAACTTAGATTCTCATCACCAGCAGCCACAAACATTGCAATCAACTTTGAAGAGTTCCTCTGTCTGACAGTGCACCAGAATCCTCAACATAGAATCTACTTCTGACTGCAAAGTGGAGCTTTGCATAAAGCATATCCAGTGGAGCTCCAGTGCAAATATTGAAATATTTCAATGCACTTTTTACGATTTCTCTCCGTGATTCTTATCTCCCTTCAAGAAAAGATTGCAACAGGAACGAGTTCATTGTAAAACCTAAAGGTCAGAGATGAAACCAGGGTGGATGAGGTAACCAGTATCTCAAAGGGTTACTGAAGTTATTCAGAATGAAGGGGCAATTTGAGAAGATGCAGCAAGAGTTCTGAGCACCAACATTCTTTCCTCCAGCTAGCATGGTTTAATTTTTTGAATGTGTGCCAACATCTTCAAGCCCAATTCTTAAGATCATCATAGAAAATTGATAAATAAAATATCCAAAAAGCAGCTACTACATTACTCCAAAGGGACATCTTTTCATAAAAGACATACTAAACAGCACCTCAGTTGATAGACCTGTTAGATTTTTCCCTATTTAGTACTGAAAAAGCTCATCTTAATCATATTTTCTCTTTAAAATGAACTTTAATAGAGCTGTTATAGAAAACAGCAGGCAAAACTGCAGACAAATGGAATAGCTGCAAAAATGTTAGTACTTACATTTTCACTTCTTGTTTTAGCAGTATATACTTGGATTATTATTGGAATAGAAAAACAATGTTTTTTCATAAATTTGGCAAAGTTTTAATGAGATATCATTATATCATGAAGTACAGGTAATCATACACTGCACTGTTCTGCAGTCCTTCAAAATGTCACAAGCATTCACGACTGAACGTAGCTTCATAATGCCTGAGAGGTTACAACATCCAGCAGAAAGTTCAGCCTATGAAGAGAAGCACAACCTGTTTTATGAAATTCTTGTACATGTTGTTCTTCCTAAAGAATATTATGCTTCAGAGCTAATATTTCTATAGTAAGTATTTACATAACAGATTGTAACTACACTGATGACCACGTTTTTCCCCAAGCATGGAAGCCAACAAAGAATTCCTATAACTTACACACTCAACAGAAATTATCTTTGCTGTTTTCACTCCGTAAGTACCAATTCACAGCCTTTCAGACTTCCCACACACTGAAAACAACACAATGCTGTGGCACAAGCAAAGTAATTACCACTCTCTAGGGCTTGATGACTCCTTTCTTGGCATACTGAAACAGTTTACAGAAAACTAATTTTCTTAGTGATTAAGGAACATTAATAAGGAATGTATTCTTTCATAAGTCAAGAGTTACTGAATACCTAAATACAACAGTGATTGATTATAAATGCATAATAATGATGTCTCAGCCAAAGACAATTGAACTGCAAAAATACATCATTAAGACTCGGGATTTTCTACTTCAACTCTCTTCTGTTGGAAAACTGTTTCAAGCAAATTAAATACTTGGCCTCCTCTTTTTCTTTTCCTAAGTATCAAAAAACAGCAAACTCGAACTGTTTGTTCAAAAGCCAAGTATTTTGGGGACCTTAACTCATAAAAAGTGTAGTTTTTCAACTCAAAGGTGTTAATGTTTAGTTGAAGGTCCAGCAGATGACATGAGTAACAGCGATAAGCAATTGGTAACAGGTAACCAAATCCTGTGAACCACAGGTAGAGAAGCATCATATACAATAAAGTGAAGAGAGTAAGGAATGCCTTGACAAGATGTTTAAGTAGAATGAATTTCCTGAAAACAGCAGTGTTAAAGAAAACTATAAACTTAGCTCATTTCTTTGGATATTTCAGCTTTAGAAAGTAGTTTCATAGAGTGCATGGTGCTGAATTGTGGCACTTTTTAACACTTCTCCCCCTCAGCTCTAAGTTACAGCCCCAACTGCCTCAAATCCAGAAAAAAGCAATATCCTTTGGGTTCAAACACATTTTTCCCATGACATTTTATACAAGTTAAGATTACAATTAAATAAGAATTTCAGAACAACTAACTATTCATTTTGATAACAATTAATGGAACTCTGGTATAAGTTAGGACAATTGTGTTATTCTAAAGCCAACTCACAGGTATTATAGTAACCCTTAAGTGAACTTAAGGACAATCTTGTTTTCCTTAAAGTAATATGCATATTAAAAACTTCAGATACATAAATGTAATAATCTCCTTCACTTTCACTGTACTCTACATTTTTTTTTTCTTCTCTGTACACTAGATCATCATGCAAATGATGTAAACCTCTCAATATAAAAAGATTCAAAACTCCAAAACCTGTTAACACTAGAAAATGAAGGATATGTTTAGCTACAAAAAACATTCCTCTGTTAGAATTACCTTGCTGAAATAAGTGGAGACATAACAAAAAAAGGGAATTTTGACGTTTCATATTTTGTTGAATGCCATTGCTGCACAGGCAATCACTGTCTCTTACACATAAATTAACATCCTACCATCTGTCAAGTGTTCAGATAATCACAGGGTTTAATGCACAATATGGTTATTAGAATGTGACCTGACAAAAAGAAGAAGAACACAACCTAATTTGGACTATGAAATCTATGATCTCACTGGCAAATGACAGTTAGACAAGCTATTATTCTGCATTTTGGCTTCTCCAGTAAAAGCAATTTTGTGCATACATAATTCTATTAGTCATACAGCCTGTGGAAGATTACTTCAAACTATAAAATTTGCTTGGTCATTCAGGATTTTGAACTTATGTAAATATTTGCACCATGAATAGAAATGTAGTATCTGTATATACACATACCTAAGAAGAAAACACAAGTCACTATGCAAAATAATCCTGTGATGCTAACATTAACCACAGATTTTCTTCAAGAAATCATGCAAAAAGTCATTGAGCCCATTAATTACCTATTTATCAACTGGCACTGGCTGTTCCAGAAGTAGCGAGTATGGGACAGCTCAGTATCCAATGTTTCACATGCAAATGTGCCATCTGCTAATAAGCAGCATTATTATTATTATCATCATTCACAATATTACCTACATACTCATTTTGGCTGATTCTACCCCCAATGGCTTGTTTTTGCCAAGGTAAACATTACTGACAGTTGTCTCTACTCAAGACCACTAAAAAAATCCTATTACTAGCACAAAACTACCAGGCAAGCATCATGTGCCCATGGCTCCCATATTTTTCAGTGGCTCAACTGCATTGCTAATGCTCCAATAAAATATACTGCCAGAGGAAATATTCTAATGATAACTTCAAAGTGTAAAATACATGCTTGGGAAAGGGGAAATTAAGACTTCAGAAAAAACAAACAAACCAACCAACCATTTTAAGTAAGTGACACAAGAAATACAAAGCACACACAACAATAAAAGTTCAACTCAGTTTTACTACCTGCAGAAATGAAGTTTCCATTGATAAATTTTGTTAAGGTCTAGCTACACTACTCAAGAACCTGCCTCAATAATAAAGCATCATGATCTTACTTTCTTGCCAGAGGGCGAGAAAAATCAGCTCTTGGTTTATGCAAGGCCTGTCAGCATTTCAAAGTGTACCACTACTTACAATTACACAAAACAGCTCTTATCAGCCAGAGGTCTGCTACTCTGATTACCAGCTTCTTCCAAAAGGGAAATAAGAAAAAACAAGGAGAAATCACAAGGAAGGAACATTTAGATTACTTTGTTCTGGTTCACTTTTACATATAGTAAAGTATTCTCCCTATTAAATGCCAGAAAATATCACCTATATAAGATAAACATCAAAAACTACCATTTTCCAAAGTACCTAAGCCAATTATGTGAGCCTGATCCTTCTTTTGAAGGATCACACAATTTAATTATCACAGGTCACCAAACTCTCACTGTAATAATGCAGATAGTAGAATTTATAAGACATGCTCAGCTGCATCATCCAAACCTGTAACTGCTTTGTGAAACCTGTTCCTCTCTACTGATAAGGCTCTAAGACTCTCTTCCTGGGGAAGTTACTAAGATAGACAAAGGGGAGAATAACCATGACACAACCTACTGATTCTCTGCTGATGTCTGTAAGTGTGCAGTAAGTTGATGAAGTACAGAGTAAAGCATCTTGCATTAGTTGTGCTCTACAAATATTTACCCAGGGAATAACTACAGAGTAACCACCAAGCAGAAATTTCAGTATCTCCTACTGTTCATTGAATTTATGAGATAAAAAAGTGTTTACCTTATTCAAAGTCAAGTCTCTCCCCAGACCAGAGCATAAACAGTTCAGGCAGTTGGGTGTATCTTTTTCACCCTTAAACTTCAGCATTTGGGAGATAACTCCTGCATAACAATACCTGAAAATTCTAAGCAACTTCAGGCTTAAACTGGAAAGCAATGCACTTCAAACCCCAGATTACAAAAGTCAAAGAATTAGAATTGTACTTGCCCAGTTAAAGCTCTTCATGTTGGACTCTTCAGGGCAGACTTATATTGAGACCAGCACTGAGGCTGCTCTGCTGGCTGTTCATGGGACTGAAAGCAGATTTACATGACCACAGCTGCTACACATTACATGATCACACATGAAATCACATTTTAATGCTGCACCTGGCACTTCAATTGGAAAACTGAATGTTGTTGGTCAGCTTCAAATAACCACACTGATGATAAACCTATGGAAAGGCTTGGTTTAAAAGATTCAGTGCATTATCTTTTAATATTATTTTTATTTTCCCATAAAAAAAGGGTATTTTCACAGGAGGTTGATCAAGCTTTTGTGGTTTTAGGTCAATTTGACAGTTCTTTGGCCTATACTATTCACCAGGGCATTTATTTTATAGTGATTTACTCATTTCACCTGTCTTGTATCCTCTTATGAGAATGAAATTGGATTAATATGAGAATAATTAAATAATATGAAACACAATGCAAGTTTTCCTACTGAAACATTTAAAGTAATTTCTCACTAGGCCAAGGTCAGGAGAAGACAAAAATTAAAGTGCAATTAACCCAATCAACCAAAATATAGGAATAGCAGCTGACTTAAAGTAGTATATTGCAACTACTAAAACAAGTGGCAATGAGAACACATTTTCATATACTGTGTAAGGAAAATACTGTAGGTCAGGAGAAAACAAAGATAACTCTTATAATAAACACCTTTGATAATCAAAGGAGCTTCATACTTCTCTCACACAGAATATTCAGCAAATTATGTTCACTTCTCTGTAATAATTTCATCCCTAACAAGATCAGAGAAAATGATTTATTCCACCCCCAGTTTTCCTACATTTGTACGTCATCCTAGGGGACACTGACTTTCTGAACACTGAATTGCTTTTGGCCATCTGATATTATATTAGATTATTGCAGTCTTTTGCAGAAGGAGCCAGAAAAGAAAAAAAAGGGGGGGAGGGGAGGCAGAAATAATTACATTAATGCTAGGAATCAAAGTTTATTGACTTTCCCTTGAGCTATAATACCAAAAAGCTGATTACAGAAGTTGTCAACTTATTTAATGATACCACCAAGTTCTCTCTGAACTCATCAAAATATCTTCTGAAAAAAATCTCAAAAGCTTTTCAAGTAAAGTAATACATTATTAACTCTAGTTCATCTTACTGAAGAAAATTGTATCTTGCCTCTGCTCCTTCCACCTCTTTGTGTCAACCAAAACACTAAAAGCATCATCATTGTAATAAAAAAAAACTCCAGGGTGCTCTGAATTGTTGCATTCTTAAGCAAACCAACATCTCTTTTTCACATCCCAAGTACATCCTACTTATTCTAAAACACCGAGGGAAAACTTGGACTAGAATACAGCTCTAAAAAAATGAATGTCTCATCCCCACCCATGGCAGCTTGCCCTGAGAACTCAAACTCAAAACATGGTATTCTGCAGTATGGACACTAGTGGACAGAAATCCCATAAACCATTATGGGGTTTTAAGTTTTCACTCACAATGACCCCTCCCAAGAAAGAGGGTTGCCCATACCAGTATTTGTTCCAAAAGTTCTCTTTAAGACTGTAAATGCTTCTTCCTTCTTTGGAGAGCAGATTTCTCTACCAACACTTTTTCTCGTAGACCAAGAGTGTCAACAGGGACATCTTCCTTCCCTCATTTTAAAATTACTTTATTGTACAATGTGAATAGGGAAATACTTAATTAGCTGATAACGACCAGAGCTGCCTTTTTTAGTTTTTCCATCAGGGTCAGCAGTACAACAGAAGGTACCACTCACGTGAAAAATTTATCCTTATACCAGTTACAATACAGCTTTTTCGAAACATATGGGGGGAAGTACAATACAACTGCTGTCAAGTTTTCTGAGCGCTAACAAAGCCAGGAAGTTCTTAATTAGTTCAATGAAGCTGTAGCTTATCATATTCTCTTTCAATACAACTGTGAGCACACTATGTTTACAGTAAACCTCTTCTGAACAACATGCAATTAGAAGACTCATAGAATACAGTGAACAAAATATAGTTTAAAGGAAAGACGGAACTTCTTCAGAAGCAAATGCTCCTTCAGCAAGATGTTCCTCAGTCAATCTGTTTCCCTAATTCACGTGAAAGAGACAAATCAAGTTCGCTGGTTTCATTACCTGGTGATTGAACAGAAGTATTTATGCTCGAACAGTCCTGCCAACACAAAATACACCTGCACGTCTGTAACAATTTAACATGGTTTAGTCACAGCAGGTAAAAGCCTTTCATGTTGCAGTGAATAGGCCCTTTGATACTCATCCACAGTCAAACGCTGCATATGAGATCACTCTGCAACAGAAAACTGCTGTGAAAGTTTGGCTTGAACACAAGACTGTTCAAGAACACTGTTCAAACAGGATTTCATGACATGACAGATCAGAAGAAACAGCTTTCAATAAAAGGCAGACAGGGCACGCTGCTTACCTTGTGCAAGGTGATTTGTTCTGTAGCATTAGAAGGGACAACATCAGACAGAGCCAACAACCCACACAACTGAATTTGTGTCAGTGCCTCCCATGACAAGAACAATCTCTTGCATTTAGGCATCTGTCAGTCTTGTGAGGGAAAATTGAGATATATCCAGGGAGTGATACTCAGTAAATAGGACCAAAATTCTGTACATTTCGAATGTGCAATCCAGTTGGATTAAATTAGCTTTTGCCAGGTAGTAAAAAAATGAAAAAAATAAAAAAAATTCAGTTTCTAAGTTAGAAGAGGGGAAAAAATGCATTCTACTACTCTCCAATTAAATTAGAATTCTGCATTGATCACTAAATCTTTATTCTTATAATCAATCTTCAAACACATAAGAAATGGGCAAGTCCTTTTTAGGACCTTTCAGCATTGTCTGTCCAGTCTTGGAAGTCAGCAAAGATTTTCCTGGAAAAAATTCAGTTTGCAAAACGTTTTAAACAGTGACAGTAGCAGTGATTAGCATTACCATAGCATTAACTAGAGGAATGTACCGAAACAAATGTTTATGAAGTATTGACTTAAATAGCATAAAATATAATAGGTTCAGATTACTGCTGTCTTATTCAACATCTCATTTTCATGATAACAAGAATAAGCAGGTTTACCTACCTGCAGGTTAACAGGTTTGCCTATTATTTTAAACTGTACTTGCAAATTATAGTAAGGATTAATGTTCCTCATACAGAATACAGAACGCTGACACTGGAAAAACAGAATCAACTGGCTACTGCAGCTTCTCTGTTCTAACCATTAGTACCAACACTTGAAAGGCAAAAAAGACTACAATATTTCATAAGAATGTGGCCAAAAGTCATCCTCACTTTGTGGCACTGAACCCAAGTTTGGGTTTCTGCACAGTGAAGCCACTCCCGAACACTCACTGCAAGCATTCAGCTCATCTCACCTGAGATGGATTCTCAGGCCTGAGACAGCCACCAGACACTGTATTCCAGGAGAGCAGCTGGAACAGGTTATTTTCTACCTTCCTTGCTCACATCATTTCTTTGAGAAGATTGGCAGAGATTCCAAGAAATTCTTTGAATAATTTGAAAATGAAGGTGGAAAACAATAGCTTGAGATACAAAACTGTAGTGTGGGGTTAAAGATGCAAGTCAGTAGCTTTCATTCAGAAGTGTTTCCAATAAAACAATAAATACATGCCAGTATGGGATCTGCTTTTGCTCACTGAATGGCTTCAAACTTCAGTTTTATGTTTACCCTGAGGCTACATGAACTGGAGGGGCTCAAATGTTTCAAGTTTTCCTGTTAAGTATTCAAAGCTCTTTGCTAAATCTTCTTGGTGACTTCAGTTCTCTGCAACTGCCTTTGAGTACCTTTAAATAAGCAATTCCCTAAAATGATATACTGCTCTCACACAAAAGTGTGGATTCTCTTTTTAATAGTTAAAAGTGTACAGTGAAGCCTGAGATATGTAGGTTTCATTCATGGACAATTATAAGGCATATTAAAAAAATAAAATCCTTCCACTTTGTTCAAGTGCCTTATTAAATGCAAACCCTTCCTGTGCAATATATATGCAGTATGCTGTACAAAGACAATGCTGTTTACAGTGTCAAATAACACACACTTACCCAGACCAAGCTTTTTCGTTACTGACACTCTTTTAAAAAAAGTTGGGCCAAAAGCTTTAATTGAATGAAAAAAGTTTAATCACTTACCACGTATGATAGAGTCCCTATAACTGTAATCCGAGCATCTTTTCACCATTATTGCACAGCAGCTACAGCTTCAAGAGACATAGTATAGAGAGAATTCTGTTGCACATTATACTTTAACCAAGAGCATCAAGCAGAACATCAAGGATAATGCATTTTTCATGTTTAGCCCAGTGAACAAGCCTTTTTCCCAAGACTGAGAAGTTAACCTTTAACAACAGCAACCCAAGGCAAAAGGATTATGAGAAATATATCGGCATTTCCAATGGGCTTTAAAGCAATCTAATTAGGCAGCCACATGCCATGTTTTGTGAGAAAACCAGCAATCTAATAACTGGATTGTCATCAGAAACAAAGTGAAAAGCTCATGCTAGCAGTGAAATACTACATTTTCCTCCACCATCTGCATCCTATAAAATCCTATCCATATCTCATTGGGCTGACAAATTGTCTACCAAAGAGCTTAAGAAATACCTGCCCTATTTCAGACTTAGAACTACAATAAGAGGCATTCAAGTTTAAGAACAACCTTCCAAAAGAAAATAGTTCAATACCTGTTAGATGCAGAATTTCAACTTTATAATGAAGTAGAATTTTGCATAACATTTATGGTGAAATAAAATAAGATTCATTGATACAACACAAGATGTTAGTCACCCCCACTTAAAACTTGAGGAACATATTGTTACAAAAATTGTGTTTATAGATTTACTAAGTTGATTACAGGTAGTAATTTACACCACCACTAAACCACTTTCAGGAAAGTGAACTTAACACATTATCCACAATTACAACCTATGAATG